CTGTGACAAATGATGACAGGGACCTACAGCATTTCAGCTGCCACATGTGCACTGATCCTAAAACATGAATGCTACACCATGGTAGCTTGCCCCTCAGTGAGAGGCTCTCTTTTTACCACAGAGTAGAAGCATGCATATGGGCAGTTATAATGGAGATTGTGTCATAATTCCCCACTCTGTTACAGTAATTTTTTCACGTTTTTGTCTGAAGTATTTTGTCCAGCCTGCTTTGAAATGCTCTAAATGATCCACTGCCACTCTCCTTGGGAGACTGAAAAAAAAACAAGAAAACATCTGAAAACAGACAATAATGAGATTTACTGGAACAATTACAGTCTCTTTAGCTTCTTCTCAATTTTAATAGCCCTAATCACATCCAGTTTATCTCCATCATTATCTCTGCCTACATTATGTTCCACCCTGCTTAGTTATTGCTTATCAAAATGATATTGCATTATGTTGTATTGTGTTGCATTTAGCTCTTTACTCCTACGTTATAAGTCAGTCCATTCAGCCTCATGAATATTTCTTTCCTATCTCTGATGTCTTTCCTTCTCTTGAAATCATACTAGTGAACAATATCTTGCCTCCTGTTTGCAGATATAGATCATACCGTGAAAATTAAAGTAAATTAGTATAATAGAAATAAAACACCCCCTCAATGAAATAGTTTAGTATTTTTCATGTTTCTAATTCATGTCAAACATGAAGTTAGCATCAAATTAAGCAGCAATCAAAGGGATTTTTAATCCAACCTTTATTTCAAGGTTCACATAAATAATTAGGTTGATAGCCGAGATCAGTTCTCTCTCCCACATTACCCTATATATTAAGCCTTTTTAACATGTAAGTAATTCCTTGACCCTTACATTTGTTACTGAGCTCTGAATAAAGCCTGAAACTGATGGCTTGTTTAAACCTGTTAATATCTGACCAACTGTGTTAGATAAAAGAGATTCTTAGTATAGCATTAACTTTGAGAGATAATGGAAAAAAAGATTATTTCCTTTATAGTTCTTATATCTCCCAGCATGTAGTACTGCCTGAGTAATCACTGATGAGTTTGATTTTAGGTGACTTTGACTTTAGATACCAGATGCAATGAGCTGTATACCTGTACTCAAATGCAGAGAGGTGGGTACAGCCAGCCAGTTGCATAATAGTGGTTGAGTAGCAGCTCTAATTTACTCTGCATGTGTAAGATACTTCAGTGACCTTATACTAGTTGAGTATCAATTGAAGCAGAGCTTGTATAGCTGAAAATAGATCAGGAGGACTGGAAAATCCTGTGCAGTGTTCTCTTTTCTGATAAGGAGAAAGGAGAAAACATGTCACACTTTAGTCTCTTAGGACTGTCATCTAAAATGACTTTTATCTTATTTTTTGATTCAAGTAATATCACAGAGAAAAATGTGTTCTAGTGGGGAAAAAAATCACAATATATAATAGCTAATGATCTGTCAGTCACCAAAGGTGAAGAGTACAGCACAATCAACCACAAATAAAAATACTAATTTGAGACCACAGGCAAGCTTGCATTTTAAAAACGAGACTGAAACTTTGACCAAAAAATTGGAATGTGGGCAAGTGATGGACATAATGTGTTCATTCCATTGTAGCTTCTTGCAGACTTAAAACAGTTATCTTTTAATCTTCATAGAGTGGGCAAACACTGACAACATTATTATTTTTAGAGAATGAAGTAAAATGAGTTATACTAAATTTCAATATTCTGTTTTGGTGTTTTTCTAAAGCCAGCGATTCTCATGCACAAAGGCAAGAACAGTCTTCAGATGAACTTTCTTCCACAGAAAATGCCGATGATACAACATCAACAGAGCAAGAAGAATCTACTCTCACAAACAATTTAGCAGAGCAAGAGTTAAACCCTCCACATCCTGTTTTGATCAGCTAAGGTGTAATTCTTAAGGTGTTAAAATCCTAAAACAAACATTACAAAGTTATGGACATGATGAGTGTTTACAAAGCTAGAAATTCAAAACTGTATTGAATGGTTTTAATGATACACTTCATGGACTAACACCTCCTTTACTTACTTTGAGACAAATCAGCTGATCTTATTTATCTCTCATTAAAAAATGTGAGAATTTTAAGAAATCCAAACAAAGAATATATCCTGAAAAATTCCTTACACTGTGTAAGTAAATATATTGTATGGTCTTATTTTCAGCTAGAACAGAAAAAATGAGTAAATTCCAGCCATACTGAAATCAATGGCAAAGTTCCCACTGCCAAGATTTCACCCTAGGATCTAGTATTTTAATCAAACAGCATGCATCTTGCACAAATGTCATACCAGCACAGTTAAAGGGAGTAGGAATGCGAATAAAGAATCACATTCCTTACTGACATCGTATGCTAGCCAAAATCTTAATGTGGCATGTCCATACTGATATTTAGGTCAAACCTGAGGGTTGTCTTCAGTTAGCTTAAGCCAGAAGAATTTCCTTTCTCCCATCTAAAACTCGTTTTGTGACCATTGTACAATTTATTTCCTGTTTGAATGGCTCCCTTGTAGAATTTAGTTTGCTGTGTATTTGTCTTTCCCTCTGGACTTGACTTGGCTCTCATTATGACCAGTAGAGATGGGAAGAGGCCTGAAGAAGGTCTGAAAATCTAGAACAGGAAGTTGTGGGGCTCCTGCTTACTGACTTCCTGAGCTTGCAATCAGTAGTCCCCAGGTGTGCTCCAGACATGCTGAGGGCATTCACGCATAGCAGCAAGATTGGCTTTTGTCATTGATCCAAGTTCCAAGTTCAGGCTGGATGGCTGCCAGGGGTCATCAAAGGGGTTTCCATTGTCAGCATATTTGGGTTTCATGGCATTTCTAAGTTTGCCCCAAGTACCTGTGCTGACATACTTAGGTGTGCCAGAAAAATAATCCTTTGGCCAATCAAGCTTATTCCATTCAGAAAACTGGTTTCAACTGCATCAGCAAAATAAATCTTACTAGCATAAGTTGCTAGCATAAGCATATCTAACACCATAATGCAGTGTGCTGGGGAGGGAAAAAAGAGGTAGACCCAAGAAGAGCTGGCAAGCTGGGGCTTTAACGGACAGAGTGCGCAGGGCTAGCCAAGCACAGGGCAGAGTGGAGAAGGGTTGTTAAAGCATCTAAGGTGCCCCAACAGTCACAGTGGCTAAAGAATTGACTTGACATGACTTGAGCATAAGTTGTGATTCCAAGAGGAGGGTTTACCAGCAAACTCTTGTAAGTATGGACATGTTCTTGGACACACTCTTCAAAGCAAAAGACTGGAGGCCCAGCTACCAGCCTTTTGCTTTGAAATCATTGGGTAGTTGCCCAGGAGACACACAGCAGATAAGGAGTAGCTTCCTTACAAAAAAGACATGGAAGGGCCACAGTGGGCACTAGGGCTGTGCGAAGCTTCTGTCCCTGATTCGATTGGGCCCAATTCAGTGGCTGAATCTCTGAATCCGAATTGAATCTGTACCCTCTCAACTGATTCAGAAAGATTTGAAGATTCAGAAAGAGAGAGGGCTTTTAAATGTTTTTTTCTACGTACCTCTAGCTAGCAGGCAGCTCGTGAATGCTGCGAAGCTGGGGCACATAGAGCGTCCCACAGAAGCATGGGGAGCTCCCCAGCACACTCGGCAGCAGACCTGGAAATGGACCAGAAACACTTCCAGTCCACTTCCGGGTCTGCCAGGGAGCGTGCTGGGAGACTCCCCCAGACCCCTCTGGCTTGACAACTGGTACCTCCTGGGTCTGGGGGGGCACCCAGGGTCCCCCTGTGGCTGATTGCCGAGCTGGGGAGGCTGATGGCGCGCTCCCTGGCAGACCCGGAAGTGGACCAGAAGCACTTTTGGACCCGGAAGTGGACCAGAAGCACATTTCTGGATTCGCCACTGAGCACATGAAGGGCCCCCTGCACTCCTGTGGGACACTCCAATGTGCCCCAGCATCACAGCGATCATGAGCCATGCCTGCTACCTCAAGGTATGTACAGAAAACTTTTAAAGCTGTGTCTACGTCTGAATCGCTGATTCTCTGAATCAGCATCAAATCTTCAGATTCGGCTGAATCGAACTGGGGACAGCAATCCAAATCAATGAATCAAATCACTGTCCCTGATTTGAGCCAAACCCAAATTGAATAGGGCCCGCTTCGCACGCCCCTAGTGGGCACATCTGCACAATCTCCTTCCTGACTCCAGGACCACTGCCAGCAAACTATGTTTGCCCCTCCCATTTATTCCCACTTAGGCACATATGTTAAGTAACTGGGCAGAGAATACAGTTTGGGAGGTGTCCAAAGTGACTCGAAGAAACCCTGCATGCATGGTCTAGTGCCAACCTTAGGTGAGGCCAAGAGTTACATTGGGAAACAGTTCAAACTCTTTACTTTTCCTAAATCGTCAGTGTTTGGTGCAGTACTGAGTGGGCAGGGCTTAG